TGTATTCACATTCAATATTTCTTTTATTATTTTAATGAATTTTGCATGTGCTCATTCAATCCAACATGCCGGTGTTTCAGCGTCTTTGCTGGCTGACACCAACACCAAACTGTAAACAAAGCTCTGTAGCAGGCTGTGCTCATCTATAAAGCAGGATGAAGCCTGAACCAAATCCCAAACTCCAGACACTGTCACCTAAACCTCTGTCAGCATGCCCTCTTACATTTACTTTTAAACAGTGTGTGTGTGTGTGTGTGTGTGCACGCTCGCGCATGCGTGTGCATGTGCATACATGCATGAGCGTGCATGCACACGCAAGTGTATGCGTGTATCTCTGTCCACAGAGGCTGGGGCTACAGGTGATTATGAGCCGACCAAGATGGGTGTTAATAACAGAACTTGGGGCCTCAGGAAGAGCAAAGAAACACGTGTAACCACGGATCCATCGCCCAGCCCTATCAGGATGGTTTGAAGCTGGTGAGATTAGATGCAAGTCTGTGGGCAGAGCATCTCACTGGACAGAAGGGTCCCGCTCTCCTGTGTGGGTGATGATGGAGAAGGGCAGGCGTGGGGCACTGAGTAGCCATGCCATGGAGGTAGGTGTCAGTGAATCTGCCATGAGCAGCAATGCTGTGCTGAGCTCTGTACACAACCTGTACAACAGCCTGTCTGCATTCTGTCTAGAGTTCCCAGTGAAGCAGGGCGAGGACCTCGATGCCTTCAGCGCAGAGGGCCACAAGGGGCCTGACTCCAACAGTGAGTGTACAAATGGGTTCACCGTGTGTTCCCTGTACAGCACAGAGCTGTGCTTCTCAGCGGGCGCTCTAGATGCTGCTGCGCAGACACCTCTTCCCCAGGCTCTGAAGGGCAATCCTTGGGTCCCTCCCTACAGCACCGTGTATCAGCAGTGCCTCTGGGTCTCAGGGCACATCAAATACTCACACACATCACTAAACGTCCCCACTTAGGCAAATTCAGCAGCCTCTGAATTTTACATGGTGGTATGACTTTAGTACCTAAGAGCTAGTTTGGGAGGATCAAATGCATGGCAGCTCGTTATAAACTTTTTTTTTTTCTTTTCCAAGATAGGGTTTCTCCTTATTGCTTTGGAGCAAGGCTAGCTCTGTAGACCAGGCTGGTCTTGAACTCACAGAGATCCGTCTGAGTGCTGGGATTAAAGGCATGTGCCACCAATGCTCGGCTTCATCATAAACATAAAGAGCTACCTGAATGGCATCCAGACACAGCCTCACTGGCAAGGCTGTCGTGGGGCTGGCCACCTGGGTCCTAGGCAGCCCGAGTACAGTTTTTTTTTTTTTTCAATCTAGCCAAACACTAACATATGAACCAGCTTCTGACTCTGAAAATCCTTCCTCTAAGTGAGCATTCCGAGTGTCTGTGTTGCTACAGAGTAAAGCCACACTACGGTGTGAGTTTTAGAGCAAGGGCAGATGGCAAAGCCATGGGCCACTGCAAATGCCAGGGCACCATGCTGAAAGCAGCTTCATGGGATCTGGTCCAGGTTGTCGCCAAAACTATCCTGGAGGGAAGATGGCACCCGCCTTGGTGAGCAAGTGGTAAGGGTGTGGACAACTTTAGTGACCAGGAACACAAACCAAGGAGGAGGAAAGGCTGATGGACTGGCTTGGTTGCTTTCCAAAGAAACTGCTCTGGGCATCTCTTTAAACACTAGCTCAATGCGCCTGAAAGGGAATCTCAGAGGCTGGGCCAGACTGCTTCATACAAAGTCTCTTAAACTGTAAGCTCTGGGCAAAAGCTGAGACAGGGCAGGGATTCTCAGTGCTTTAAGTGGACAGTTTTGTCTTGGACATTTACCCCAAATAAAACAGTGGTTTTTATAATCTCTTTCACCTGTTTACCTCCGAGACTTCTGTGCTCTCCTCCAAGTTCCATTCATCTCAAAGACATGGGGAGGGAAGATGAGGCCTTAAACCTCTGGGCCTGGCCATCTGCAATGAGGCTTTCAGCCTTCCCTTATCTCGCTTTCCAGAACATACTTTTTACCACATTTGTGTGAGAGGAAAGGATACAAGAAAGGCAGCAGAGGATCATGAAGCCAGAAGAGCATCCTGCCAGAGCTTTTGGTAAGAGAATATCCACACCCTCAACATACACCACACCCTTTCTGGGAAGACGTTTTGCTGGCCTGGAAGCTGGGTCAGTGAGACCTAACATACACCACACAAAAAGCACAGTTTCCCTCCCAAAATAGGTCCCATAATTAAGTCAAGCCATCTCAAGAGAATTGTTCTGTGTCTCGGCTTGACATATGTTGCTTTAATCTCCCAGCTTCAGTAAATGTAGCCACACTGGGCTGCAAACGTGCACAGCAACTCACGTTTAAGCCAGATTGTGGTGTCACTAGCAAATGGATGCAAATAAACAGCCTTGTGAGCCAAAATACTCGATGTCAATCATCTGTAATGAGAACCCTCTCCCCCTAAGCACATTTCCAGGACGCCAGAATCACTACCCATGATTCCGAGGGAAAGACCACTCAGACTGCAATGCTATCTCTTCTGCAGACAAATATGTCTAAGGAAGCCGGGCTGACGTCTAAAGCATGAGACAGCCCCTTCTGTACAGATGCTTAGAGCCCATGGTGAGAATCTCTCTTTCCTTCTGTGGACTATGGTTCGGTACAACTTGTCTGTCTGAAGTCATTAGATCTGTTTTTCTTGGAATCAGGAGGTAGCTTGACTCCTAATAAAGTCGGGTAGGTTCATGAAGGAGATAGCTTCCTGGCATCCAACTCGGACCTCTGCATTCTGAGCCCTTTTCAGATGTCTATTATGTATATCATTTGATTAAAATATAAACCCTCAAGACAGCAGGCACTTTATTTTATTGGCTCTATCTGTACCGCTGACATTGGGGTTATTTTCTGGGTTTGTACACATGTGCTGCTGTCCTATATAACGTAGGGCATCTAGCGACATCCCTCCCATCACCAAACACCCTCTAGGAGGGAAAAACGACCCGGAGAAAGCCACTGTTCTCTGTGTACTCATCTCTCACCCTGACATGGCCCAGGAATGAGGAGAAGTCTCGGCTTTTCAAGAATCTTAGGCTGACTCGTGATGAAGGATCTGAATCTGAGAACACCTGCACCTCAAACAATTCATACACAGTACCTGAACTCTCTGCTAACAATGCCAGCACCCAGAAGACGACATATTTGCTACCCTGAGCCCCTGGACTGCTCCTTTTTCCAAAGCTCTGTTCTTAGAAGACTACTCAACAGAAGCCTCCACAAACCATCACCAGGTGCTCAGTACAAGACCAATGGATGAGAGGAACTTTAGGGCTGGGTATCTGCTAACATCCCCTGCAGAAGTAAGGCTTTCCTAGTCAGATCCTGACAGCTACAGTGCCTCGGTGCTGGGCATTCACTAGAGAGGGGACTGTAAAGCAGGAACCTCTTCTAAGAGCCAGTACAATGACTCAATACACACATACAGTGCCTAATATGAAGTCAGGATGATCATTTGCTCGCAACTCCTCAAATGTAAATATTTCTCTATGCTTGGAGCATTTGTGTTCTTTTTTAGATGTCTTGCAATAGCTCCTATACTTTAATGATCAGTACTTCCCCAGCGGGCTGGAGAAACCGGGTCCGCCCCTTCTGTCTCACTGCCTGTGTATCAGCAAGCTGCCTTACCACAGACCGGTTCCTTATCTCCAAGAGGACTTTGTATCCCTTTTGCTGAAGAGACTTAGCAGCTCTTTAGAGATTATCATAGAGACCTCCTGAGGCTATGTCCATGTCCTTGATTCATAAGACTGACATGACCTTAACATCAGCACCCCTCGGCAGTGACATGGCTGATTCTCCCCCCAAACATAGGTAGAGGCTTCACCCCAAAACCAAATTCTTGGGTCTCTATGAAGCTACATAATCATAAGGGGGTAAAATAAAAATGAAGGTTTAAAAATCGGAGCCTATACAAACCAAAACTTCACTGCTGTTCCTTTTTACTAATGTGAACGAAAATCGTATCATACTTTAACCAAAAGCTCCAACAAATGACCTCGTTCAGTTGCAAGGTGGCAGGAAGGGAAGCCAAGTTAGCTGTACTTGCCTGAGAATGGCTTCCTGGGGTTCCAGAAGGAGGCCCAGGTTACAGGGGTCCCCCAGCTCATTCTGGAGTAAATGATGGAGAAGTGGCTGTGGTAACCCTGTGAAATCACATGTGTGTGACTGATCAACCCATCCCACAAGGCTTCCTGCTGAAGATGTGCACCCTTTAGAGTGACTTAGCTTCAATGGCAAATGTGGTCCCCAAACAAGGGGGCTCTGGCTGCTGTGGACCGTCACCAACTACACCCAGCCCTTCTCAGATCACTTATTCCCACAACAATCCTGTGGAGTAGGACATGCCAAAGGCCTCAGTTTGCACAAGCATTGGAGAGGTTATGAAACAACCAATAGGCATGGAGGAGTTCTAATCTGGATCCCTGACTCCAAAGACTGCCCTCCTCACCACCAGTGAGGTTGGGATGCTGCTTCTCTGGGTCTCCAGCCTGGGGCAAACTCCCAGGAAACTGTGCTGTTTACTTCCCTCCATTTCCCATTCCTCAAACATCTAACTTTTCTCTGGTTTCAGCATGCAGGACATTGTGAGCCCCTGCTTAGAGACTTACTTCTTCTGGTCTGTGAGTTTATGGCTCCTATTACACTGCTGACTTAGTGTGGAAACTAAATTGCCAAGTGTGTCCTGGGTTGTACATCTGAGCTTCCCCAAATTTACACTTACTAGATTTTAGAAAGCCCCTGTATCAAATTAGTAACATTAGCTTAAACAAGAAAAATGGCATACTGTCAGAAAATACCAATTCAGGGCCACATTTAATTAAAAACTGTCACTTGAGGTTTAGTGCAGATTTAACAGGTGCACAGGCAGGGCAGGGCAGTGGCTTCCCCTCTTTGGCACCATTTTACAACTAAATGTGTTAGAAATAAAGGTGACAACACTTACCCAAATTTCCACCAACTATCACAAACTTTATATACACCACATGTCTTCTAAACCACCGGTTGGACTGACTCTGAAAAACAATGCAAATAAACAACTTATTCACAATCCACTTTAAGCTGCTCACTGCTCATTCTCTGTCTCTTCACTGTGTGGGAAACCCATCACGCAGCAGCAAACTCCCTACCAGCTGCCCCTTTGCTGTGCACAGGAAAATGAAACCAATTTACACGTTATCTTAGCATACATGAGTAAGAAAAAAAAAAAAACCTGTGAACAATTGAATCAGTCAGAAACTGTGCTTACAAATAAGAATTTCCAATCCTTTAAAACAACCAAAGGTAAGAGAACGATGGGAAATACCTAACATTAAACTTGTAACATTTTCCCTTAGCGCCAATTCATCTCCTTTTTATCACAGCTCTCTTCCTCCTACCTGGTTCTGGGAGGTCCCAGGCTACTTTCCTCTCTCTTCTTCAGTGGGTTAACTAACTGTAAATAGGAATTGTAGTGACCAGCCTCACAGTGTCATTGTTACTGTTAAATAGCATCACTCTCAGGACATAGCTTTAAAACAGCAATGGACACATAGTAAGTGCTGAGTGAATGGAAGGTCCACCCTTCATGCTCCTCACTGGCCATGCCTGAGTCCTAATGTGGCTTCTTACCTCTGCTGCACACCAGGCCCCAAACCTGCTGCTGAGCCCACACGGGGCTGCGGCTCACTTCATTCTACCCGGCTGGGCTGCATCATGCCTTGCTTGCTTGCAGCAAACCCATGCCCAGCCTCTAGCCTCTAGTCATCCCAACACACACACACACACACACACACACACACACACACACACACACACACACCTCCTGACTCTGCAAAGCATTCCCCCACACGCCATTTACAAACATTCTTCAGAAAGCACGCCTCCCTTCCCTTCCCATCACCTGCACATTCCGCATGAGACTAACCCGCCTGACTTATACTTGGCTCAGCTTTATTTCCCATGTTCTGGACCAGGCGGGAAGCAGCAGCCACCTTCCTTGCTGCTGGGCCTAAACCAGGCCGGTGCCTCTCCAGGTGGTCCTTCTGTCCTACCCCTACTAGTAAGAGGCCCAAGGATTATCTCGGGCAGGAGCTCCTTGCCTTTCTGGACTATGTCAGTCTATAGAATTTATTCAGAATTCTAAATGGAATTTTTATTGTTGTTATTGCTTGTTTGTTCTTTTTTAAGAATAATGTCTTTAAGTACTTGGAGTTAACATATGAAATGGAAAGAGTTTAAGCCACAAAATGCACCCATAATCAGTTATCAAAAATTTTCACAACTATATAGTGGAACCCTGTTTCAAAAAAAAAAAAAATAACAAAGATGAAATGGACTTCCTTCAATATTTAAACAATTTTCTGCAAAAACTAAAGTAAATGCCATTTTTAAGTATCCTTAAATGAAAAACCATACTTCATGATGTCCTCGATTGTAATATAATATAAAAACATACAAATAGAATAGCATCCATATTCTATTCTATACAGAGCTGAAACTATTCTATAATAAAAAGAAATGTTGGATTTCAGTTCAAAGAGATTTCTTCCTCTCTAGGTCCCTGACTCCTTTAATTCCAGCCATGTCCTCAGATCAAGTACACCAGCTTTAAGCCTCTCCTAACTCTCATCTTTCACTGTCTTGATTTTCCTAATTTGATTACCTTAAATTTTTGTTTTTATAGTCTTTTAAATGAGATCTTGCTATATTTTGAGTTTTAAGCATTTTAACTTTCTATTCCTTTTAATAACACTCTCCCCTATCACCTGCATGGGAAGGGAGGTATTCATCAGTACTGTCTGCATCAATCAGAGATTAAGTACACTGATTGTACAAGCTTAACAATATTAAAACTATCTCATCTCTCTTTGGCAGCCTATGAGGTCCTAAATATGTAGATGGACACCTTAGCTTTCTATATTTAGATTACAAATGACTGAAGTTAGGCAACAAAATGTTCCCTTCCTTTTAGAGAGTGGATGCTTCATCTGTGTTGCTGACTGACAGGTCTCTGGGAACAGACCAGCTGTTCATGTATTCATTGACAAGTAACACCCTGGATGCCTAAGAGATAAGCACACTCCTGCCTTCCAGAAGCACCAAGCCCTGCTGATCCTGAGCAGCTAGGACTCTCCACCTCCTAGGCTCTTGCATAGCAAAGAATGGAGAAACCATGGAGAAACTGGCAAGGCCAGTTAGTACCTTTTGGCATCTACTGGGAACTGGACTAAGACATGACTTTCTGCCAATCACCCAGCTGTGAAGCTGTGGCCTGGGAGCACACGAAACGGTGCAATCCCGCACACCTTCCCATCGCCACCGCCCAGGAGTGAAGTCTTTGCATATGAGGCCAGAGACGAGGATCACTCATGACCACCTCAGGTGGGTCTATAACATCTGCCACATTCAGCATTCCAAGCCCCACAGATGAATCAGACCCATGATGGGCAAGACTGTCCATATTATCCTTTTTCCTAAGCAGCTTCAGCAAGAGATAACTGTGTATCTTTTGCCAAAAACAAAAACAAAAAACAAACAAACAAAAAAAACCCAGGACATTTCTCCCTTTTGAGATGAAGAAAGCATAATGATTTTCTCCACTGGAAATCAGTAATCAGGGCACAGTGACCAATTGCTTTGGCAGCGATTTACCACTGGCAGAAGTTTTTACACCTAACATCATGTCAAGTGACTCCTGGGATACGTGGGTGTGTGTTCTCTCCAGTGACACCCAAGGTTGATGAGCTACCTACTGTAAGAACAAAGGTAGGGCAGGTTTGGATATGTGACATTAGTTACCAGTGCAAGCAACTGAAGGGTACCAAGGAGATGACTTGACTATGCATCTTCCATTCCTTGAGCTGCAATGTGTGTGTAGTTATGAAGAGTAATACTGTTTTTATGGCTACGCCCACACAATAGTGCACAGCCCAGTGTACTTTCTGTTTCCAAGATAAACCACAGGCTGTATATGACTTCTGAGTTCAAAGAGACATTTTAGGTACACACTGAACAGGTATTGCCAATACAGTTCTCATCAATACAGGGCTATTCTTGCTCTCCTCTTCCTAATGGAACCCTCATACATCCTTTACCAGCCACAGAGCCTCAAGAGCTGGGGACAACGATCTCACTGTGGGGTTAGGGCTTTGCAAGGACACCAACCCACCCCCACCCCGACAAGTGTCAAGTGGATGCTTGTCAGGACTATTAGTCCTAAGGCTTCACTCAAACCAAGCTTTCCCAAGTGACTGGTGTGTATACTAGGGCTGGAGAGGCTCTGACTCAAAGAGACCCCAGACTCCTGCCAATGCCTGGGCCAAAAATAAACATGGACCTAATACTGGGCAATGAGACAAGAATGTTTCACTAGGAACACGTCACGTCTCTGAGAGAATCTCTCTCTCTCTCTCTCTCTCTCTGTGTGTGTATGTGTGTGTGTGTCTTTTGCTGAGCGTAGGTTAACACTGAGACAGGGGAAAGTCCTGGAAAGCAAAGGCAGGACTCAGCATCTCTGAGTCCCCAGAGAACCCTCATTGCTTAGGTCTCCCTGAGCAGACAGGCGACAAGGTGCTGAGACCCCTCCCATCCGAGGGCCAGAGCAGCACTCGGAGATTCTTCTTGCTGGAAATGACCCAGTGCTGTTCTGGTTATCATGACCGGGTCTCGTCTGCATTCCCACAAGTTCTAAGTCAGCTGGACACAATCATGCAGAGGAAATGCTAAATACTTTGCAAATTATCTTAACCAGAGTGGTCAACAGTTGCCTTCCCAAAAAGTCACATGGATGTCATTTCCTGCAAAGACAATGGGAGACTAATTGCTCAGCCTCCAGTAGGGAAGATATGTAATTACTGAAGTAAATAAAGAAGGGCCTGGGCTCTCAGTTTCTGGATCTGCTCCAACTACTTGTGCAATTGGGGGCGGCTCTCTGGTCTGGAGGAGATGAGAGGGGCAGTATCTCATGCAGGCATTTATATACTTTTACACGTCCTGGATCTTAGTGAAGACCTTCCTGAGAGAAGGGAAGAGACTGGCCATTACTCAGAGCCACATGTGGCGTTGGTATAATTTTGACTCATATGTAGGAGTTATGTATAGTTGTGGAGAATGGAAATGTCTCACCAGACATCTTTGGTGTCCTAGATTGTTAACCACAGCGGAGAAGAGGGGTATTCTGGGTTTGGACTGATGTTGGGTTTGTCATGGAGACTGATGACAATGAATTTTCTGTCAGGGAGTAAGAACACTGTCTCACAGCATGTCTGCCCAGCTTCTACCTCAGTTCTTTGCTTCTCAGACCCTTTCTGCTCTCTCTCTCCTGCCCCTCCGTCCTACTTCCAACTTCCCCAACGGCTCCCGTTTAATGCATTTCAAACCACATTGCTACCATTCTTGTTCCTGGCCAGAGGGAAGGGACTCTCGCTTGGCCACGGTCCTGTTCCTATCGCTTGTACAGTACCTGGCATGGAATTTACAACATCTACTGAATGAGTAACCAAAAGGCCTCCTCGAGTTGAGACTCCCTCATGGGAGTTCCTGTTACTTCCTAGCTTACTTCTGGCTTCTTCTCGTCCACCTTACTCGCATATATGAGTATCTGGGGCACAAGCTGCTTAGGTCCCAACGACAACATGTCATCTGGGAAGGACTTACAGCCTAGACCACACTTTGCAAGTGAAAAACCACATTCACTACAGCCAAGAAGCTTGCAAAAAGCCTTCTAATTAGAGGATGGGAGAGATGGGATTTTACCCTGGCTGCTAACCCAGAGCTCGGGCTACCCAGCTTGACTCCAGTGCGATCACTTACAACAATCTCTCAAGGGAATCTAATGTGTAGTAAGCATTCAAAAATATTTGTTGACTGATTGAATAAATCAGTGGATCTCATGCATGTGAGTGACAAGGGGTGTCTCTTATGTGGGGTGCTTTCCCCCAAAAGTTAAGGAATGGATATTGTTGTTCTTTTGCTGCAGCTAATGCCTAAGAAACACAAACATGAGACTCAGCGCCCGTGTGGAGTTTATTGAGAG